TTGTGCGCAAATAAACTTGCTTGTCTATAAAGCTTTATTGTGAAATTCTTTGAACCCTTCAGCCAACCAGCACCTTCATCACCTGTTTTCTTATTTATTTATTTAGGAAACTTCTATGCTGCCCCATTCGCCAAAGCCTCGGGGCGGCCCACAAACATAAATAAACTTCCTTAAAATATTATAAATTAACAGTATAAATTTATACAATATCATCTAATCAAAATATGTAAGCATTAGCACATTTAACCTTGGAGGTGGCTAATTTTCCAGAATTGGTGGACCAGGGTCATCAGGAACATTCCATTCACAAAGGCCGATAAACATCCTGGCACTGATCCAGTAGTTGATGCCACGTGATTTATGACCATGATCTTGATTCTGGCCACAGATGACGGAAATGAACCTCTGGGAGATGTTGCACCCCTCTTCCCAGCACTCGGTCTCTTGATGCTTCAGGAGGAAACCCCCCTCCACTGTCACTGCGCAGACACAGATCTTGTATCCGAGTCCCTTCACCCAAATCTGCACCTCTTGGGGCAGGAGGGGCAGGAAGGGTCCTTGGTGTGGCTCCCGGGCTGCCCAGATGGATGGCGAAGCTTCCACAGCCTCCTGCTCCTGCGGTCCCCTTGTCCCAGAACCGCCAGTCCCGCCAGTGCTGTCCTTCCCCGCAGACCCCCCTCGGCTTCCCTGGGGAGCCCAAGGCATGATTTGGGTTCCGAGAAGAGGGCGGTCCTGGGAGCCCCCTCCATGCCCAGCCCCCGGGCATCCAAGCCAAGCCACATTGAGGCCAGGCGGGTGGACGCGTCATGCGAAGCCAGTCCCTGTGGCATTTCAGCCGAAGGTGGGGAGAGCCCTGTCTGTGTGTTTCTGTGCTACAGAGCTGCCTTTATACAAATCGGGTGTGAGTTTGCGTTTCCTGCCTGGGTAAACGGAGGGAGAAGCGTTCTTCTGAGCCCCAGTGCAGGTGAAGCACCCCAGTAACAGGCAGGCTGCGAAATCCCCCCCCCCCCGCGAAGCGCGAAAGGGACTCTCCGTTCAAGGCACTGAAACCGAAGCAGCAGCCCACGGAGCTGCAGAAACCACCTGTTTTTGCGGGTAACTCTGCTTAGTTGCAAAAGATTTTGCTTTTGCCTTGTTTTCAAACGGGATTGGAAGGGCCGGGAGAATTACAGGGCTCCACCTGCCGTTTGAACAAAAACAAAAGAACAGGAAAGGGGAGAGAGCTCTCCAAAAGCAGAGCCAGTCCAAAAAGTGGCAGAAAGCTGGGAAGGAAACTCCTCTGTGTCCCAGAGCGCCGACAGCAGCGGCCTCCAGGTTCATGAATCAAGTGCATTAACGTTACAATAAGCAATTGATATTTACTGCAAAGAAAGGGGCAACCGATCAGCAGAAGTGAGGGAAAAGCGCTTCGCTGCCAGTGGAAGCATTACCCATAATCAGAGAACAAAGCCCAGCACTGAAGCCACACAGAAAGCAACAGCTTATACAAGTTACTAAGCAAGGTAAAACTATTCCAGGAGCTGGTGCTATGGAAAATCCTGGGAAATCGGAGCGCCCAGTTGGGGATCCGCGATCCGGGTTTTGCCTTCTTCCCGGAGGGGGCGGGCAGGAGAGGCGTCGCTTCCGCCCCGGCGGATTGGGGAGAAGCAGGAAAGCAGCGTGGCGAGGCGGCGTGGGCGATTCCCTGGCGACCCCGGGGCGCGACCGGCCCGGCGGGACCCTCGGCCTGGAGGAGGGGGTCCCGTGGGGTGAGCGCAGCGGGCGGGGGGGGCAGGGCAGGGGGGCTGGGGCAGAGCCGGTGCCCCGTCAGCCTCCCGGGGCATCGGAAGGGGCGGACTGCTTGGGGGACGCGATCCCTGCTCTCCAGGGGCAAATCGCGGTGCGGCCCCTTTGCGCGGTCCCCTCTCGGGAGCCTCCGCGGAGAGGGATGCAGCCCCGGGCGACCCTGGAGCCGTGGGCCCGGTCCCGGCAGGCGCCGTGCGGGGGGCTGGAGGGGAAGGATTTTCTTTTGCCCCCCCCCCCAAGAAAGGAAGGGGCGCAGCAACCCCTCCCGCCTCGTGCGCGCTCCGCTCAGGGCTGCGCTTGCACGACCTGCCCCCTCGGGAGCTCCGTGCAGCTCGGGGGCTGGGAAGGAGATCGGGGGCGGCCTCTCCGCGAGGAAGGGCGCGATCGCTTCGCCCCCCATGGCCGGAGCTGGAGCAGAGAGGAGCTGAAATGCCTCGCTAGGCACATGCCCAGGAGACGGTCCGTTGCCCGGCGGGATGGGGAGAACTGCTCGTCAGAATCGCGGGAGACGCGCGCCTGGCGATGCCCCCGTTGCAGCAGCCCCTGCACAGAGGGAAAGGGGTAACATTCCCGGCACTGGGACAGAAGGGGGGGGCACCTTCCGCCCATCGCCAGTGGGATCAGCTGCCTGGGCCATTAACTCCCAGCGACCTTTTCTTTTTGCCTTGATTCCCAAGCAGCGGATTGGCTGAACGCGGGGAAGCACGTGGCTCCATCCGCCTCTTCATCAAGAGCAGGAGGGGGCAAAGTGAGGAGAGGAATCGGAAAAGCAGCACAGAAACCAGGTAAAGAATCGGGGCAAAGCAAATCCTCTCTTTGGCAGAGTGTGGGCAAACAGGAGCCCAGATCCGAGAGGCTCAAGAAAGACCGAGCAGGGGAATGGGCGCCCCCTGGGGTAAAACATCAGCATTCCTTCTCTGCCTATCGAATATATTTGCAATATAAGGAACAGTTTGAATGGGAAGATTAAATTCATGGATAGACCGATAAATAGTACCTGGCCAGAAGAGGTTTACTGCAAGCAGAAGGTTTACTCCAAGCTGTAGTCATTACCCCAGCCCTGAAAATGCTGGAGATGCCCAGTGAATTCACTGGTGTGGAGGGGCATCAGATGCAACCAGAATGTGCTTTTCAGTGAAAAATTCCCATAGGGAAAAGTCATATAGATGCACAGAGGGTGGAAAGGTTTTCTGTGCGCAGGATCTCTTTGTGCACATCAGAGAAGGCACACCAGAGAGGAAGCGCATCCATGCATGGAGGATGACAGAGCTGCTGAGCTGGTGGGGGTCTTCCCCCTCTGAAAAGACCCCACAGTGGGGAAGCCACGGGGCCCCTCCCTCTCCTTTCTGCTGTGCAGGAGTGGGGGCGGGGTGAGGGGGAACGGGGCCAGAATCCGAGCGGCTCTTCTTTGCTCTCCAAGCGCGAGGTTCAGTGCTGAGCCTGGACTACATGAATGCCTTGACCTGGAGCAGATGAAAGCAAATTCACCTGGGTGGAGCAGGTTCCCTTGCAGGGCTGGCGCAGGAAGGCCGTCCCTTCCCGTGCCTGCCTTGCTGCTGCCCTCCTCCCCACTCCAGCTGCCCCCCCCCTGCGCTGCCCTCCTGCCCCTGGAGGCCTGCAAGAGGCATCTGGGCAGCCGCCTGCCAGCGATGCTCCAGCTGGACTCCTGCCCTGAGCGGGGCTTCGGACGCGGTGGCCTCCTCAGTCCCTTGAAACCCCCTGTTCTTGCACTGCAGGACAGCCCCGCCAGGGGGCATCCTGGAAGGGCAGGTCGGGCAGTTCTGCAGGGCCTTCGGTCCCACCTCCCTGCTTGGTGCCGGTCTCCACGGGGAGTCCTCCCTCCCAGGCGGCTGCCCAGTTGCTTCTCGCATGCCTGCACGTTGCAGCGTCCACAGACTGCCAGGGGAACTGGATCTTGGCATGCTGCTCCGACAGTCAGGGACTTTTTCCTGATACCCAACCAGGTCGGGGCTGCTTGTAACCTGAGCCCTTCATTCCGTGTCTCACAGTCTGAGGCCCCATCTCAAACTGTCCCCCTAGTTTTGAGTATGCTCATTGCCAGAGCCCAGCCTTGGAGGGTCCCTCAGGGTCTTCCATCTTCTGCCAGCTCATGTTTTAGCTCCTTGCCAAATAGGCAGGCAAGAAGGTGCGGCGGCGCTTTGGCCTCGGCCTGGAAGAGGGACGAAGGACAGGCACGGGGCACCAGGCAGTGGAAAAGATGTGCTTCTGAGGCTCGCTAGGCAGTTCAGAGTTTCTCAAGAGTTCACCGTATGTGAGCTCTTCACTTGAAGGCAGTTCTTCAGAAGCAAGGCTTTGGCAGGACTTCCAAAGGGCAGAAGGGGGAATGTGGGAGTTGTTGGCAAGAAAGTTGCCAACTTTGTCTTGAGCTGGAATGAGCTCAGCTGTTTTGGCCTTTCATTCCTTCCAAGATTTTCTTTTTCTCTTTCTTCCCAAAGCAGATGAATTTCAAGACAGTCGAATTAGATGGATCCCTTTGTCATATCATCAGAAACAAGTGAGGATGAAGTGAGCAAAGAGACATTTCCAAATGCACAGAATGCAAAAAGCACAGGGAAAACCAAGTAAAGAACAGGAGACAATAATCCAGTATTTTTCACAGTGTTGGAAACAATCTTCTGGAATGAAAGAATGTGCAGAATGTTGAAAGAGATCCATGCAGGAACCTCGCTCTCCATCTAGCTCTCTGCAGAACGCAGGTGAACATGTCTACCATGGAAGGAGTCTCAAAGAGCGAGAACTGACTTAATGGGCATCAGCGATCCATCAATTGAGGAGGCCCTGTATAATCATGGAAAGTAGGGAGAGCGTAAGGGCTGGTGAAAGGCTTCCAGAGGATGGAGGAGCCCAGCCTGCAGAGCAGCTAAATAAATACATGGAATATTGTGAGACCTTCAGTGATCCAGGTGATGTTTCTAGGTGCCAAAGAAAGCACACTGGGGAGATAGCAAAGCAAAGTAAGAGCTTCAGTGGGATTGGAGATCTTCAAAGGCATCCAAGAACTCACACTGGGGAGAAGCCACATGCATGCATGGAATGGGGAACGGGCTTCAGATGTATTAGAGGCCTTACTCATCATCACAGAACCCACACAGAGGAGACGCCATACACATGCATGGAATGTGGAAAGAGCTTCAGTCAGAGGGGATGTCTTACACGGCATCAAAGAACACACACTGGAGAGAAGCCATACACATGCATGGAATGTGGAAAGAGCTTCACTCAGAGGGGATGTCTTACACGGCATCAAAGAACACACACTGGAGAGAAGCCATACACATGCATGGGATGTGGAAAGGCCTTCAGTCAGAGTTCACATCTTATACTGCATCAAAGATCCAACACTGGAGAGAAGCCATATACATGCATGGAATGTGGAAAGATCTTCAGTCGGAGCGGACATCTCATAAGGCATCAAAAAACCCACACTGGAGAGAAGCCATACAAATGCATGGAATGTGGAAAGACCTTCAGTCGGAGTGGACATCTCATAAGTCATCAAAAAACCCACACTGGGGAGAAGCCATACACATGCATGGAATGTGGAAAGCCCTTCGGTCGGAGTGAACATCTCATAAGTCATCAAAAAACCCACACTGGAGCGAAGCCATACACATGCATGGAATGTGGAAAGACCTTCAGTCGGAGTGGACATCTCATAAGGCATCAAAAAATCCACACTGTAGAGAAGCAATACACATGCATGGAATGTGGAAAGGCCTTCAGTCAGAGTGGGCATCTCGTAAGGCATCAAAAAACCCACACAGTGGAGAAGCCATACACATGCATGGAATGTGGAAAGACCTTCAGTCGGAGTGGACATCTCATAAGTCATCAAAAAACCCACACTGGGGAGAAGCCATACACATACATGGAATGTGGAAAGACCTTCAGTCAGATTGGAAACCTTACTCAACATCAAAGAACCCACACTGGAGAAAAGCCACATACATGCATGGAATGTGGAAAGATGTTCAGTTGGAGTGGAGATTTTACTCAACATCAGAGGACCCACGCTGTAGAGAAGCCGCACACATGCATGGAACGTGGAAAGAGCTTCACTTGGAGTGGAGGCCTTACTCAACATCAAAGAACTCACACTGGGGAGAAGTCATTCCCATGCATCGAATATGGAGAGAGCTTCAGCCAGTAATACTCTGAGGCACCATGTGAGAACTCATCTGCTTAGGAGCCATCAATGAGCACAAGGGAGAGGTTTCTAAATTCATGCACTGAGGGTATAAAATGGAGGGTGAGGCATTTTTCCCGGAGGAAGGTAGCTAGTCGGGTGCCACAGGTTTCAGTCCTGGGCCTAGTGCTCTTCAACATATTAATCAATGATTTAGATGAGGAAGCACAAGAGAATAGATAAACACATTTGCAGATGATGCAAAACTGGGTGGAAGAAGAAACACCCCAGGAGACAGAAGCAAGATCCAGGGTGGTCCTGATCGACTTGAACACTGGGCTGAAAGCAGTGGAATGAGAGTCAGTACGGGCAAGCTCCAAGTCCTCCATCCGGGAAAAAGAAATCGAATGCATTGATGCAGGATGTGGAATACGTGGCTCAACAGAAGTGAAAAGCAAAAACACCTGAGAGTCCTTGGGGACAATGGGCTAAACAGGAGCCAACAGGGCGATGCAGCCACCAAATCAGCAAAGGCTATTTGGGATGCATTAACTGAAGTATTGCTTCCAAATCATAATAAATAGTACTTCTATAGGATACCCTATACTCCTCACTAATCAGACATCATCTGGAGAATGGTGTCCAG